AAGGGAGTTAAGGACTTGATAGGTGAGTAAATTGCCATAAAGAGGAAATGGCAAGGCACTATTGCAATCAAACTTAACAGGAACAAATACTAAGTTTACTCTTGACATATATTGGACTTAAATCTTGGACAAAAGCTCACCAGACAGAAGCTCACCGGTCAAAAGCTCACCACGTGAAAATTTCATGTTGGTCTTAACACGAGTGCAGACAACTTAGGTGCATGCGTGCGACACTAAAACACAACAATGAATTAAATCTGATAGGCACATGGTTTGTTGATTAGACTGGAAACAAGTTTTTTGATTGGTTAGAAGGAAATGCAGTCCCGTACAGGCTGTTTCCAGCAGTCTTGGTAGATCTCGGTGTACCTGGAGCCCCTTGCAAATATTTTCCAGACGGTTGTGGCATACCTTGAGTCAACCCAGATTGATCTTATCAGCTTCAGCTCCACTCATTTTGGTGACCTAAATTTTTGTCCGAAATCGTTGCTTCTGTGCCTGTTATGGCTTACCTGTCGACACCGTTGCATGAGATGGGGTACCACTTCTTCTAAAAATAGTGCAATGTCCATTGCGTCCGCACTTTGGCCCAGCTCGTGACTCACCGGGTAGCCAAAAAAAAGGGGGTGAGCTATTGTGTGGGTCTAAGAAAAAAACGGGTGAGCTTCTGTCCGGTGAGCTTTTGTCTGGTCACCATTGGACTTGTGTCTCGGTACTCATGGATGGTTGTTTCTTTTTGCTTATGTTGGGGGAGGTATTTGTCTTTTTGTGTCATTACGTCTTGCGCTACACCTCTGGTTTGCAATAATGTGCCCCAGTTCTAGCATACTTTAATTTTTGCCTAGATTATAATTCACTCTGATGTTCCTTCTGCTTAATTTTGATCGTCGATTTATATCAGCGATTAAACTTAACGAAACTTCAGTATTGTTTACTTTTGTGTACAATTTTCTGAAGATAGCTGACTGTTTACCCCAGCTTTAGGCTGCTGAATCTTTCAAAAACTTTCAGCTTGTTCAGTTGTTTTTAAAGTAATTGTTTGGTACAGTATGGCCTCAGTTGGTTTTATATCAGTAAACCCTGAATTATAATATAAAATAGATGTCAGAATCAAAATTAAAAAAATGTGGTCATCTGTGTGTTTAAAATTATTGTCTAGCTACGCAATCTCCGACTTTCTAGCCAAATATCCTGAGGCACTGGTTCTCGAACAGGGTTCCTAGTACAGTATACTGAGGGTTCTTTCAGCACCTGAACTTCCTCAATCGTTCCTATACCATTGTCATACACTCAATTGCAACAATGCCAAGGGTGGAAGGGGCTCCTCGGCTAACAATAACATTAGTAAATTTTTGTTCGCTGATGTCAGAAAGTTTGAGAGTCCCTGTCACAAAGAATGTTATGTTTGCAGGCTTTTAAAGGGGTTATGAAATAGTCCTCAGACTTCGGCCAAGTAAGTGTGGCAGTATCTCACCATCGCATGTGCAGTGAAGATCAGAAAACAATTTTTTCCAAGGTGCACTAGTTTTATTAAAAAAATTAAATAGACTTAAGCTTGGGGTGCCCCTCAACCTTTAGAGTCCTTTCCAGGTCACGTGCGTGTGACATGAATTGGGGGCCAAATGAGTGAATGACAACTTTTATAAAAACCTTAGCTTCAAATTGGGCAGATACCTGCTCAACCCGCAAACTCAACCACTATTGGCGCCAAGCCAGTAGTTCCTGTGGCCACCATAAGCTGCATGATGAAAAATGGACCCTTTTTTCCTTTCTGATTACGCAGTGCACTCGCGACATTTTGAGGGATCACGGTGTGTTTTTTCGTACTTGTGATAAGGTAAAAGAAATAAAAGTAACGAGCTCCAGACTGTTTCCACAGTAAACTTGTTTCATGATCCCTTTAATGCATTGCAAATTGACGAAATGCCTTGTTTTACATTATTTCACAGCAGCAATATTTCACAGTTGCCAATAAACATAGTCATTGGTCCCCGTGCTCAATATATTTAGATTATTAACTTTTTGTTGTTGGTTTCTTTTTGTGAAATTTTCTAAAATTATGTGGACCTGAAGTATAATTTTAAGTAGTATTAAGTAAATAGGGAGTCTTAAGGCAAGTTCCTTAATTGTCTATTGTCTTCTCTTTTCAGCTTTTGTTACTGCCAATTCCCTGGAGAAACTCGGAAGTCCGTGAAAGAATACCTGTAAAGGAAGTGCAGCAATGCTTCCTACACTGAAAACAAAGCCTCCAACACACAAAAGAAAACTGCAGAATGAAAAAAAAAAAAAAATTAGCTTTCATTTTCATTTATTTTGCGCATTGGCTTTTTTTTTCTCTTAAATCTGATTAGCGATTAATTTAGATTTTATTTAACAAGTGCATTAACTTTTTTCATTCATTTTACTTCAGTCATGTAGGTGATGTTACTTCAGTCATGGTAGATGATAAATATTGTAGGTTTTATATTAACAGGTGCAATACTATTTTTGCTCGTTTTTCTTCATCATGATAGTTTGTAATTATTTTTTTCTTCTAATAAGAGCTTGTTTATAAAGCTTTAAGTGCATCTGTGATATTTGTAAGCCACTAAAAGTATTACGTTTTTTGTTCCATCGTAAGTGTTTGTTTTAGGCAACATGTGTTCATTATATTGAAAAAAATATTTGTTTAATAAAAAGTTCTTACTTTAATTTGTCATCACTTTGAACTCGTCTACATTAAAGCCTGTAACATAATGCATTTCAGTTTCGATAACTGCAAACCACTGCAATTGCTAAATCAATATAATTTTCTACTTTTCTTATCTGGAATTGGTCAGGAATAAATTGGTGAAATGCTTTAAAAGTTCTATTAAGTGTACCCCCGATTATATTTGAAAGCCTGCTTCCAAATTTAATCCGGGGTACAATTTATAGTACTAAAGGCCTGCATAAAAGCATACTAAAATTCTGCTCAGAAGTGTACTAGAAGAAGTATCCTAAAAGGATGGCGAAATGCTACTTCTGAAGTGCGTAAGAAGTGTACTAAAATGCCTCTTACAGGCATGCTTAGAAGTATCCTAAAAGTATAGCGAAATGTTACTTTTGAAGTGCGTAAGAAGTATACTAAAATGCCTCTTACAGGTATGCTTAGAAGTATACTAAAAGTATGGCGAAATGCTACTTTGAAGTGCGTCAGAAGTATACTAAAAACCGGCCAATTTAGAGCAACAAGCATACTTCTGGAAGTGCAACTAAAGTATACTCTAAGAGCCCCGGTTTTTCGCTAAGGGATTACCTAATAGCTCCATATGTTTTTTATTAACTGTGCTAACCATATATTATAAATGAATTGTTTTCTTGTTTAATTAGAATACCAGTGTGACTTGAGTCTGGCAAACACGACTACCCTTACTCTGCCGCGCAAAAATTGAGAGAATAGGGCAACACGTCGCGAAACTTCAAAGTTTACTTTCCATATTGGTTAACCAAGGATTGACGCTTTCCCTTGGTGTAGTGAACTCTTACCCCTGCAGTAATAACACCGAGGTCTTCATTTCAAATTCCTGCACGCATCTCTTTTTTTTTTTATATACTACAAATAGTTCCATCGGTTTTTCGGGTTTCGGTTAATGGCGGGAGCAAGTAAAAGGTATTGTTACAAAAACCATTGTTACACAGTGCAAAATTTTATACCAAATATGAAAAAAAAAAAAAAACGAACGAGGATGTAGGGAAGCTAGCGTAGGTAGGTTTTATTTATCGAAATATAAACATTTTTCCGGATCGCGGTACGCCACCCAAGGCATACACAAAATAGAATGTAACAAACTTGGGTTTAACACAACCGGTAGGATGCTCTTCTTCTCGGACTTGATTTATGACACGACAAGTGGGATATTTCTCAAATTCTTTGTTCCTGCTTTCCTTTATGCCCTTCCACCTGTTATGCGTTTCTGACCCTGGCCGGCGTAGCAGAACATGAGCGCGAGGGAACACACCCACCTTATATTTCACTATGTTTGGGAGGAGCAGAGATCCATACACTCCTCCACCCTCCCCCCCCCCCCCCCCCAACACCCTCTATCCCACACAGGAGGACGCCACGACAGCGCACGACATGAGAGCGCCGACGACAGAGCAAGCGACACGAGATCGCCAGTGGCAGAGCAAACGACACGAGAGCGCCGCGACAGGATAGCGAACAACAGGAGCCGTAAAAAGGGTGTCGTATTACACCCTTTTGTCCCATATAATGCACCCCAAAACTTCAGTTCGACGTACAGCGCACTGACGTCGAACATGCGGCCCCAACTTTTAGGAGGGGCTTGATAATGTTGCCATATAACCTATTAAACAGCTAAAATGCGTATCAAATATTAAAAAAAAAAATTAAAATTTTGCAATTAAACCAAAGGAAAAAAATGTTTAGTCGGTAATACGCACATTTTAATTTATTAAGTTGTACCACTCGGCTATCAAGCCGCTGGTGAAAGTCAGTACCAGGTCGGTTCGACGTCAGTGCGCTGTACGTCGAACTGAAGTTTTGGGTGTCTTATATGGTACAAGGGGTGTAAAAATACTCTTTTTTCCGAGAGTAAGAGCGCAGCGACTCGAGCGCGTGTGTTATTAGGGAGTTTTCTTAGACCGCGTTTCCACCTCCGCCAAGCCTTCCGCAACGAAGAAGCCGCTACTGCGCCTGCGCTCCGATGGCCTTGACTATAGAGTTCAGGGCACCCTAGCGGGTGCCCTGAACGAAAGCGAAAGCGATCTACGAATACTCCCTATTAACAATGTGAACCGAAAGCTCGCGGCACATAAAATACCGGAATGGCCGCGAATTATGTTACGGGTAAACTATATATGGGCCATAGAACGTGCATAGCTCAGATATTACTACTAGGCGAGAGTGTCACGTGTTGACACTAACTTTATGAGACAAATGCAATATGTAGAGTATGCCATTTTATTCAAAGAGATACTGCACTACAGAAATGTTTCTATAATCTTCATGTGCGACTTCACACAGCTTCTGCTCCTGTTGCTTCACAATCACTACTGTAGACTTCAACTGGAGTACCTGTGCAATACGTTGTAAACCTTTTCTCGCACTCAGTAGGTGGGTCATTTTTGGCAGCCTCGTCCAATAGCAGCATGTCGCAACGATACTCTGAAAAAATTAACGGTCGGTCAGAAACTTTGCCGTTTCTTATTTTATGCAATATATTTTATATGGTAATAATAATAGGTTTTTCTCATTTTCCAAACAAACACAATATTTGGGGAGACAAGCGAAGCGAAATCTGTGTACAAACAACTTGACTCGTCCCAGGCCCCCCAATGTACAGCTGCAGTGTAGCACGTTTTGAATGGCAAAATTCTGCACTCAACAAAAACACACACACAAAAATCAAAAACATCCGCGAGCTTTTACATAAAAATTTAACGCTATTACACATTTAAAAACAAACTGGAAATAACATTGCCGTTGGCATGTAGCGTTAAAACTATTTCACGTACGATGCTCAATGATATATTGTTAATTTCGATATTTCTGAAATATGCTTTCAGAAATATCGATCGAGATTCGGTTGAGATGAATCCTTAGTACAAAGCGTATAAAGAGCGGTTACGGATCGAACACATGAAGAACAGACCCGAAGAATGTAAACCTGTTGCTCGGAAATTTTAAAATTATCATAGATATGTTTTCACATTATCTCAAAAGGATTGAAATAAATCACCGGAACGCTTTTATATTAATTGTTCAAATCAACATCTAATAAAGTCAAAGGAATTCGAAGTGCAAATGTGAAATATCTTTATATATGGAGAAATACGCTAGTTTTCATGTGCAGGATTTCTTATGTCAATTTTATTCATAAAATTATATACAAATTTCAAAAGAAGTTTTCCATCTCCACGTATTCTTATGTTCCCAGAATTAATTAAAAATTTTTTTATGTAACATGAAGTTGAAGCTAAAAACTTTTCGTGTGCCTAAAGCTCTGCTTAAAAGTAAAAAATTCGAAGTAACTAATCATGCTTAGAAAGCATTTATAAAAGAGAACCCAGCAATATCTAAACATAATGCCATAAAAAATAAAAGAAACAAAAAACCTTCTTAGCACTTTGGCGTACCTGGCGGCTTAGTCATGTTTGGCTGATTTAAGTCGAGTCTAACTAGCTAGTTATTTTTCTTGAAGCTCCACGGATGATGCTTTGCAACCCGCATACATAATTGCTTTGTAGAGTCCTGGCAGACTGGCTCAGCTTGTGTTTTGTGACCTTATAAGCCAAGGTTTTGAAAGCGATGCTGCACTCTGCTGATTCACTAAATGTCACCGATGTCATTTTAGTAAAATATTTGTTATCTTTACGGTCCACGCAAAATTTAAAATACATATGTTAAGTTCGGAATCCTTTACAAGACATGTTTGATTAATTCGTATTGGCTCTTGTAACGTTTAGATTTGAATATTTTATTTTATAAAGCAATATTTTATTTTTATATACGTCTCTTTTAGCGTTCGTTTTCATGTTTCAAAACATATCAAGCACCCAAATTTTTTTAGGTTCCTTGGTGCCTCCTTGGTCGTATAAAAGAGATATAATAATTCGTGGATAGTTTCAAAGATTAAGAGCTGAGGGAAAACATTATGAGAACGACAGAGAATCAAGAAATAGTTCTTACCGATACGGGACCACAAATGACCGACACGAGTTTGTTTTTGTGAAATTGAACCCTCCACTAAGCTTGCCAACCGTATGACACTTACCGTTCTAGGAAAGCTACAATAACAATATCATGAGCAAAATTTTACTGCAACAATTATTTTGAGTGTAGGCATCGAAAACTTGCTATTACTACTACGCATGTACACTCTCTATCTCTCTCGATAATTTCTATGTTTTGTATAATTGGGAATTATTTTTATAAAGTATATAACTTGATTCGACTCAAACAAGATTATGTATCTAATTGAGTGGAGTGAACAAAATAAACCAACACGCAACCTCTACATTTCGCAGTAAGTCCATAGCACTTTTTCTGCTAGAGAGAAGCATGAACCTACCGCTCGAGTCCTTTTTCGTAATTCTTACAATAGAGCATTTCTCGTAATCAGAGTAGAGTAGCGGATGTCCCAGTCTTCCATCAGCTGGAAAAGCACGTGATTATTTTTATTATGACCGCTTTTTTTCGTTGTGTAACAAAGAATAAAGTTGGTAAAGTGTAAGAGAGACATTTGATAGTAGAGAATACCTCAATGAAAGGAAATCCTTATAAAACCATCGGCAAAGTACACGTATTCTTCCCACATGGAAGTGCTCAAATCAGGGCTTCGCCGTAGGCAACCTTTTAATATATATTTTTACACTTTTATCAGTGTTTGCTTAGTAGTAACCTTAATATTTATTGAAAATGTAAAAAGGTGTCTCGTATAAAATTGTGTAGTTAGTTGAAAGCACCATGAACTTAGTTATTCTACTCGACGGCGAACAGAACTTGTCCTGTCAGTGTTTAAAATAACAGGACCCTTCTTTTTATTAGGTGTATAAAAGATTTCCAGGTTTAAACGTTTTGAGATACTAAAAACTAAGATAGGCTCGGAATCTAAAATATGTCTGAAGGTAAACCCGACCTCTGCGCAGTAAAAAGGGTTGTAAATATTGCGGTATATAGACGCTCGTGTGCTGTTACCACGTCAAAGCAATTCGGTACTTTTCTGAGCTACTTGCTGGGATAAAATTATCAAAGCCCAAGAATAATCTAAGCATGTGTATTTGATTTATATAATTATTATTGCCATACCTAATGGGGGTATCTTGATTATAATAAAAATATATTTATATCATAGCCCCATTTCCGTAAGGAGCCAATACATTATTTTAAATTGTCTAGATACATTATTTTTCTCCGTAGAAATTTTGAAGTGGAGCAAAGTAGAAATAATACAGTTTGGTTGCTTGATTTTTGAAACCAGTTATGTCGGTTGTTGTAAATAATCAAAAACGAAAACACCCAGTAATTGTTCTAGTAAAAATATGACGGATGTCCTTTTTTTATATAAACCTGCTTTCCCTCTTTTTACGCAACAAATGCGAAGTCTGAAAATGTATCTCCAACCAAAAATTTAAAAGCAACCCGACGTTTCAAAACCAACGCGGTTTCTTCTTCAGGGGTGACTGAAGGCACGCGGACACAGCAGCAGCTCCGAAACTCTTCGTGTTCAAAAAAGAAAAGAAAAGAAAGAAAGAAAAAAGGAAAAATTAATAAGGAGAAGTTAGGAAATCGAAAAAAAATAGTAAAATAAGTTGCTCACTTTATAATTTTTTCAATTTCCTAACTTATCTTTTTGAATTTTTTCTGTAAGGGCATACAATATAGTATTAAGTAAGCAGGATGTGTCATTGGGGAGCCCTAAGACAAAAGAAACCAAGAAGGTCACCAAAACATCAAAGATGCGATGTTTTACATTATTTAATTTCTAGGATTAAAAATGACAAAGCAGATTAGTTCAGAAGAAAAAAAAATTACGCGGTGTGTTTTCAGTTTTTTCTAATTATCACAACAGACAGAATAACAGTATACAAAAATCCAGCAGCAGTAATCTAGCGTTTCACCGTGCTCCACTTCAGAATGTTTGTGGAGAAAAATGTATTTTCTACCACATTTTAAGGTGCGATTTTGTTTATTACGAAATTTTTGGCTAGAATAAATTTTATTGGGGCAAATAAAAATATTACCGGCTGGAAGACCAAGAAGAAACGCTTCTCCGTACTTCCAGAAGATTCGAGTATCGTCTTACTTTTAGCATAAATGCTAGTGAGGCAACCATGACATTGCCGAGTCAGTCTCGTCCTAGCACACCCTCAAATATTCTAGGTCGAATATCCAAGATACCGAGCGCAGTAGAAAAGGAGCCGAGCCTAATCTTGCCGGCTCTCTCTCTAGCAGGTCTCGCTCCAGCCAGCTGTGACGCCGACGCTGTGACGTTCGCTGTTTCTGTTTCGACGCTCATTTTTCTTTGTTTCCGGCAAACTTTCGCCAAATAAACCTTTATTTTCGATTTACGCTCGCCAAGCAGCTGTTCCATCCGCGACAATAACCAATGCGACACGCGTGTTAGATTTCAAAAGAAACCACCGTGGTAGACTCGCCATCCTTGCAATGTTCAAATGCTTGTCCTGTAACAATTCATGTTCATACATAGGTGAGTTTGATTTAATTAGTAGTTTGTGAATAACTTGTCCAATGTATTGATATTGGCTTCAATAATTTAATGATTGTACTATACTATGGATTCTTGAAATCTTTTTATGATATTCACAGCCACTTGCTCTAATTATGTAGCGGCAAAATGACCATTAAACTCTCGCAGAGTATTTTCGTGAGTTGCCTTCCTAAATAATCTGTGATCTTCACCACACAATAATTAATTACAGTTAAATTTATAAGAAATCAACCATACCACTTTGTCTGGTAAAATTGAGCACGTTCGGGGCTGGGTGTTTGCCAGTGGTTTCCAAAAACAATGTTTGCTGATTTGAAACCCTCCTGTTATAGAAAAAAAGAACATTTCGAATAAAATACGGAAGCCTCGAGCTTTTTGAAAACAATCCCGTAGTAACACTTAAAATACTGACTGCGTTACAAAAGCATTATATTAGCTTGATTATGCTGCAAAGATCGACACATATAGAACGTGTTAAGCTACCAAACACACGAAGTGTGTGGGTAGCGCCTGTTGTACCTGTTGGATGAGTGTGGCGCAGATGTGTGCAAGGCAAAACCACACACTTTATGTGTATGAGAGCTCAACGTGTTTCGTGTCTCTCAGTTTTTGTCAGCATACTCAAGCTCGTCTAAATTTTGATAGAAATGAGAGTATCAGCATTATGTCTTAAAAAGCAGATTGAGCAAAAACAACTTTCGCTCTAGAAGTCTATCGCGTTTTTGCTTGCTTCAAAAACTGCAACTGTATCCCAATTTTATTATACCAGTACTTTCCGCACGATCATATTATAATGTAGATATATTTACAAGATTACAGGCATTTTCAGTTGCAAGGTTTACTAATTTTTACCGCTCAAAATAGACTCTTTTTTTTTAAAAGTCCACCAAGCAACAGTGGCGTTTGCCATACCTTGGGCACGAGGCGTGGGGTTAGATCCGAGTTCTCTCCGAACATTAATGCAACCCTCGTGCCTAATGCAAGCTCAGAGTGCCTGCCCAAACAATGGCGGGCTCCCATACTTGACGCAGCAGCTACTAGATGGCACGCGCATTTGAAAAAGGTCTATTCAGTTATGAAACAATCTTTCAGAGAGTTGCATCCATAACTGCCTCACTATCAATTTCTTTTTTCCGGTTACAAGAATATTGAGTGATTTCTTCTCATCTATTTACACCTAAAGATATATGCAAGTCCGATATATTGTTTTTTCTCGTTGATTTGTTATACTATTATTTTCACTTGACGCTTTCTAATGCGAAATCTTTTGGGGAATGTCTCGGCGTATTGTTAAATAGCATGAAACAAAAATAAAGAAATATTGCTTACTTAGATCCAAATTTAGCGCCCAGTTCTAAGGTGTATTCATTTTCCTTCACCTTGCTCTGGATTTGTGCATATTCACATGTCGGTGCTCCCATTTTCGTCGTCACTGAGTATGTTCGTTTCTTGACCCAGTGTCTTCCAGGTAATTCAACAATCTAAAATATACCAGCAACATCCTATATCAAACTTCTACACATATATGACTGAAAATTAATCATGACACTGAGAGCATAACTTATCTGATACTAACTAAAGCTACCGAAAAGAAAAAAAAAACTTCGGTTTTTCAGCTAATAGCGAGGACACATTCATGCCAATATTATTTGATTTCTATCTGCAATCGCACCAACAAGCAGCTATATATTCAAGACAGAGGTCGAACTGATTTAACAGTGCTTCTCTTTCAGATATTCTAAAAATACAAACCTGTATGTCGCGCGTTTCTTTTCGCATTATCTACACTATTGTGTTTTTAGGGTAGGTTCCTAAAAAAATACACGTAAGCGGTGTGCTCAAAACGCGATGTCGAACACTGTCTAATTCTTTGGGTTACTATCTGCGTAATTCTGCAGTATTTTTTTCTGTTATTCAAATATTTGGGGCCAAAATCTACACTAGGGGACCAAGCGGGACGGAAGGACCCGGACATTGCAGTCAGCTGCGATTCTCCAGCTCTCACCGCTATACAATCGCAGTAGACGACAGCTGTCCTTGTCACTTGTTTCCGGTTGGTCCTGCCGTGTAAATTAGGACCCCTGCTGGATTTCACTTAGGATTAAAGGTTCAATAAACCACGCACATTCAGGTCGTAATAACTGTCTTGTTTCCAGAAAGAAGTTGAACTTGTGAATGACACGCCAAATGTCTCACAGGAGAGCAACCACCCACTGCTCGAATCCTACATTTTGCGCTCCGGGAGACGAAATAAAACATTGACACAACGCAGTTATACATGGAAACACGCGTTTTCCCATTGTTTATTCCTGACCGACTAAAACACGACACGTCTAGAAAAAATAACCCATATGAAAGTCAAAAAATGTAAATTCAAATTTTATAAATTTCCAATGAAAAAGAAGCAACTACACAAAAAGAAATATTATGTATAACAAGAAATAGGTTAAACATTCATTCAGATATCAACGACAAAAGCGCAAACATTTTTATTCACTTGCAGTGTCACGAAAGCAGCTTTTCTGTATTCGGTTTTTAGGCTCGGCAGAAATTAAAACACGTTCTTTCCTAATGTAACATTTTAAATGTATAAAAACATCCGTTTTGTCTCTAATTTAAAATTAATTACCTGAGGCAATATATTAGAGCGCGTTTATGACAGTATATATATTACACTCCTGAAAGAAAATATAGGTTCGGCTGTAACGCACTAAGTGATAACAGGAGACTATGTTCTTCAGTTGGAGATGCCGTTGAATAACAAGTTTTTTTTTTTGCGTTACTCTCATTAGAAATTTATTTCGAGGTATTATTCAGCTTAACATCTCGCGGAAAAATCTATTTTTCTTTATGATATCTCTACTGTGCCACTAGCGAGAAGACGAATAGAATTGTCAAAAATATCCAGTTGCTGTATTTTGATTAGAGTAGTTTTTTGGATCATCTTCTGGCAGGGGGAAACGGTAGTGGTTTCCGCGTAATCTTCAAAGTAAACGCTAATATAAAGGCAAGAAACCCCAAAAACTAATTTGAAATAACTGTCAGATTCATTCTGAAACGACTTTTCACGTTTTTATTGAACGATAAGGTATCGCAGTATTTATACTTCAAGTAAAAACAGTAACTGAGGTGCTGAAGCCTATTGGAAGTGAACAAAATTCACAAAACCTCAAACGTTATATTTCGTTAAGACAGAACCTATTTTAATTGGCTATCTGAAAGCCAATGCACGATGCTTTTTTTTTTTATTTACTATTGCATGTTTTCTCTTTGGCACTATAAGCGTGCGTCATTATGAACATCTGTTTCCAGCAAGCTGCGTGCGATTTTCCCCCGCGAGGTGAACGATTAACCTAAGTACATTGTTAGTAATTACCTATTTAGAGCCCTCTCAGCTCTAGCGCACAACCTCTAAAGAACATGGTATGCAGAATCATAACGCAAGTAAGAGTCAAGACGTGCACCTTTCCCTGAAAGAGGTGCTCCTGGCGTTTTTTGTCGAGTCAGTATGATATTTATTCGCACCCTGAGCAGCACCAAGACGACTTTGAGTTCACTTCCTATCGAAAAATAACGTTTCGTGGATCTTTTAAAAACAGGCAGTTTTTGCACAGAGAGTTGTGTTTATAGGGGTGGCTACAGTGAGATTGATCGAGACGCTGCAGAAGAGTGTAAGAAAAAAAAAAAACGTCGCATCTGTTAGCGAACTTACGTGTCATCAAATGTAACTAAATTTAGCAAGTCCCTAATGGTCAAAATGAATTATCAGAATAAGTAAGTGCAGGGATAGATATACAAGCGTGCATACGCAGAACACAGTCTCCTCTTTTCATCATTAAGATTGACACATTTCAATTTTGATAAAGTATTTTAAACTCCTGTCTACCATATTACAATTATCTAGTTAAATATGGTTCTTCCGTTGGAAAGACACTAGACTAAATGGCATGGTGTGAATAAAAAAAAACGTTCATCCTTTCCACTCTCTTGAAGAAGGAAGACTAGCGGAGCTGTATACGATACACTGCGTGCTTCTTCTTCGCCGTCGTCTGTTTTTCGCGCTCTTTCCTGCGATGAATACCCACCAACGGCACCAAGCTATCCATTCTTCGATTATAGCTGGAAAGGTTATAGCCATCTACGAGCGACGGCGGAAGCCATACTGGTTATGTGCTTGCCGCCGTCGCTTATAAATAGCGGTAGCTGTCCTGGTAGGTTTGTGTCGACATACACGGACACGATCCTGGTTATCCTGACGATCTTTTGGTCTCCTGCACGTGGGAAACCTAGCACCAATAACACCTGAGCACTCCTTTCGCCCGGGTCGACGACTATGGGTTGGTTGTCAGCCAAAGAAATGCCCCTTCGTCCTGACGACCATTGAATTCCCTGGGCATCTGGCAACACCGCAACTCATCAAGCCCTTAGATACGAAAGTTACAGCTATCAGAGACTTTCCACACTCAACATTTCTAAAAAATTGCATAATTTTTTGGGGCTTCCAAATTCGCTCGCTCTTTCTTACCGAGTTGTGCACGACTGATGAAACAATTGACGGATCTACTGGCCACCAAGCAATAATATTTTGCGCCTCTTCAGTAAACCAAAAATGCAGCGTCTGGTTCTTTAGCGAAAAAGTCGCCAGCTGACTCTGCAGTGCTCCTTCATCTGATTACGGACACAGAACTGCGACTCGTCGGCGACGCGTCAATAGAAGCTCTCGGTGTTGTTCTTCATCAGAACGTCAATGGCTGGCAGCCAATCAAATTTTCTCGCACAAACTGAAGAATCCAAAACAAAGGCACAGTACCATTGCCCGCGAACTTTTGGCTGTGTACCTTGCCATCAAAGACCTCAGCCACTTCCTCGAGGGAAAGAATTTGAATGTTCTTAGATACCATAAGCTCATGACGCTCGCATTCCAACGGAACCGCAGCGACAATTAACAAATCACGTGAGATCCGGAACCTCGGTTTCATACCAGAGGAAACCTTGGTTCTCCGTCATGTCAGCGGCTAGGAAAACACTGCTGTGAATGCACTATATTTCGTCGGTGCTATTTCATTAACAGATCCAGTGGACCAAAAAGAGCTGGCAACCGCGAAGGGTGACGTTCCTGAGCTGCAACGCTTGCGCGCCTCTCCTGGATCGCTGAAGTTCGCCAACGTTCCCTCACACTTTTCTCCGGTAACGACTAGCTGCGAAACTTCAACTGCGTGTCACGCCCATTCGAACCACTAGCGTTTCATCTCGCTCTTTTTTATCATCTCTAAGGAAAGTGCAACCATGGTATCCCAGCATCACAGGAGTTAAGAACTGCTTAATTCTTCTAGTCGATAATCAACATGGACGTCCATCGCTGGGCGCGAACGTGCATTCAATGCAGATGCGTCGGTATCACGCGGCACACAATCACCCCCTGTGACATTTTCGCCCACCAGACTCCAGGTTCACACACGTCCACATCGATCTAATGGGTCCCTTTCATTATCACGGGTAGCCCAGAATTTGCTGACGTGTGTGGACAGATTCACGAGATTGCCTGACGGCGACTGTCCCTGACATGGCAACAGAGACAGTCGCCGCAGCCTTCATCGACAAGTGGCTGCCCAGTTTCAGCTACCCTGCTGCGGTCAGCACCGACAGGTTAAAGCAATCACAACCGACCCTGTTTCCACTTTCATCCCCATCTTGGGCGTCCGACATCCGACATATCCACGTCACCGCCCATAATCAGTCGACCAACGGCATGGTGGAACAGCTTCACCGCCAGTTGAAAGCCGCTCTCGCCATCTACAATCCTCCAAAACATTGGGCCCACCACATTTCCATCGTTCTCCTAGGCTTTCACCCGGCGACCAAGGGAGGTCTTGGCTTTTTTCCAGCCGAGTTAGTCTATGGTTTACCACTGTTTCTACCTGGCCACTTATTTTCTTCGCCTTCCCCCAATTCAAAAAGACCCCAATGGCTACATCTACGTTCTCGACGAACTTTTCGTCTCCTCTGGCCTGTTCTTCCACCTGAACGGAGCCGTCCTTAGTTAGCAAAGACCTCGAGACGTGCTCTCATGTTTTCTTGCGACACAAAAAGATTCGTCGGTCACTGGTACCGGCCTACGAATAACCGTTTCGAGTAGTTGATCGCCAAGCCAAGACGTTCACAAAGGACATCATTCAACGGCCGTAATGACGTAGTTGCAAACGACCGGATAAAACCGGTGTAGTAACAACAAACTATCCTTGAAATGACAGTGAGTGTGCAGGCAAGCTGGTGATAGCTCGTCATGTCCTATAACACCTAAGACCTCAGGGTGTGAGTGTCGCCTGCTCAGAAGGATAGGAAGGTAATAAATAAAAACTGTTACTGCTATTGGTGATTAAGCATGGTCTTGAATATTTCATGTATGTGCGTGCGCTTGACCTCTTTGGTGTCATGTGCGTTCTCTCCATGTGGAACTGTTTTCAACAAAGGAGATTTCTGCGTAGTGTGTGGTTGGGAAGGGCTTCGTGGGTATATATAGGATGGTTGAGAAATAAACCAGTTTCCTGAGTTTAAGACGTCCCTTTCTGTGTCTGTTCCTTCTACAAAAAAGGTTTCCAATTTCTTCCACCACAGACTATCGTCGTTCCAACTTCAACCCCTCCTGCCTTGTCAGCACCGTCAGTGTGGGTATCTATATCAAAAGGCGTTACAGTGACCCTCTTAGGACCTGCGGCTCTACAGGGGTGAGCTTAATGGCTACACTCACAGCCTGCTCAGGCTGTGAGTGTCGTCTGCTCGGAAGCATAGGAAGGTAATAAATACAAAATGTTACTACTATTGGTGATTAAGCATGATCTTGAATATTTTATGTCAGAAAGTAATAGTGAATAACGAACCTTTGTTGCATTTTGACATGGAAAGTTTTTCGGGTCATCCTCTGGTAGTGGGGTTGCCTCACCTGTATCTTGAGAGTAACTACAAATTGAAAGACAGAAAATAACGAGAAGCGACAGCAAATACATTTTGAGATAAAGCCTGAAATAATATTTTCAGATGTGCTGCTACTACAGTGGGTTCCAGTATTTATACCTCAACAAAAATAATTGCTCAGATGCTCAAAGCAATCAAAAGTGAGAAAATGCCCAGGTGGAATAAAAATGGCTTTTAAATTTTTTTAGTTATGTGAAGACTTACTTCAATTGGCTAGTTGAGAAGAAAAGAAGGCGTTCCATTCATTTTGGGAGAGAGAAAAAATTTAATTACACCACTCATGTCCCTGCAGTTCGATTCACTTTGACGTCACGGCAGCTGTGGCCGTCTCCAGGCTCTGACGCGCTCGTTACGTTAGGCATATGGCTTGTGAAAGCTGCATATGACTCAGCGCCTTCAAAAATATCCATCATACTGAGTGTAATATTCACATTGTCCGCCTTTAAGAATTCTCGAATCTTTATATGGTCAAAATACCTCAAGACGCAATTTTAATTTGTCGAGCATCTTATTCAACATTTTATCCAGGAAGATCTTTCTTGTGACTTTAGTGTACTGAAGGCGCGATCGCAGAGCGCGGGAAAGCATCTCCAAATGCCCCTTTGCGAACCATTGACTTCATCGCCTCTACGCCGAAGCCTCCTCGAGCAGGATTATGCTTATGTCTCTGTCACGCCTTTTATTAGTAAAGCTAGTGGCGCGTCGGGCTAAGCCCATAACGGTGTTATGTTTCGCATGCACGTAACAGCGGCGCAGAGTTCTTTTCCAAAGCAGGAAATGTCAATTTAGATCTTGGAGAATGGTGCTACAGTGCGATCGTGCAATGTGAGAGTTTCGCGGCACAGTGGGGCCGCGAGGACTATCAGTCCGTCCTGGCTGTCGTTTGTGCGTCTGCTCCTTCGTGTGGATGTGCTTGGGAGACGCAAGAAACGCGGATATGATCAATCCGTCTGCGAATCAGCCTGTCATGTGAATCCGCCATCAACGGAGAGTGCTGTCTATTTTGAACTTGAGAAAATTAATTGCGCAGCATCAGTTTGTGGGAGGGCTAACCCCACTAAAACCCCTTGACGTGTTTGGGTTAGTTCCATAACTGGCGTCAAGCTACCAGCGCACGAGTCCCGTGCAGCACTTAGAAGCAGATGGTAGTGTAGCCCTGAAATTAGAGACACTTGAAAACAAATCGCAGCACGAAACTGAGTCTTTGCATGTGTCTCTCGCGTTCACACAATTGTGGTTGTCAGCAGTAGCGAAAATGTGAAGCGTGAATTTTATTGAGGGCGTTGTCCTTGCCGACTCTCAGACTACTGGGTAAACATTCGGTTCCAGTGAAATACGACCACGCGATTTGTCACTTTGCTTATGAACTGAAAGGAAAGCTGAGGAGGAAGTAGTTGGAAAATCAGTTCATCCTCTCTTCGGCAACGTTGTTTGAAAGAGCTTTTTCAGAGCGCAGGTGTTAGGGGCCCGTTCCCGGCTTGAGCGGCGTCGGCGTCGCCGTCGGCGTCGGCGTAACCAAGGTCACCCAAGGTCACGTGACCCCCCCAAGGTCATCCCCAGGTCACCCCAAGGTCACGTGACCCCCCCGCGAGGTCACGTGACCCCTCCCCCCCCCGACGTCACGTGACCCCCTCCTTCGAGGTCACGTGACCCCCCGCCGAGGTAACGTGACCTCCCCGATGACGTCATCGTCACTGATGACGTCACCGGCATCCGCATCGTCATCATCATCACTGATGACGTCCCCGGCATCCGCATCGTCATCGCCATCATCACTAATGACGTCATCAGTGACGTCACTGATGACGTCACCGGCATCCGCATCGTCATCATCACGGATGACTTCATCAGTGCCGTCACTGATGTCGCCACTGACATCCGCATCGTCATCGTCATCATCGCTGATGACGTCATCAGAGACGTCGCTGATGACGTCATCAGAATGCGCATCGTCATCGTCACTGGTGACGTCATCAGTGACGTCAATGATGGCATCATCGGCATCGTCACGTGACCCCCCCAAGGTCACGTGACCCCCCCAGTACCCTTCCCTCCTCCTCCTCAAGAGCTGCGCTCTAATTCGGTGTTACAGGGCTTTTTCGTTCCTTTGTCAACACGCAATGCGCTTTTTTTTCACCTTCACAATGAAGTACTGCCTAAACGTTAGTAAATAACCCCGACACATACAGCATTTTGTACAAAACGTATGTGACCCAGTCGAAGGTGGACTCCTCATACCCTTCGCATTCCACATCATCAGTACACACCCTACTTCTAAAGGCGCTTGTCACGCAATGTTGTGAGTAGTTTCAAAGGACGACAATCGAACTTGAATCCGACCTCCCGCAGTGGAAGCAAACTGGGTGCAAATACAAGGACCAGCCCGATAGCGGGTACCTTTAGCAGCCATGGATTCCTCAAAACACACAGCCTAGCTTGGTGGTACCAAGCCGCCACCTGATATCCAGAAATCAAATCTTGTCCTTCGATCTACGAATTAAAGCTCCCTCATACACTAGCCAGGTGCCTCGCTCGGCCCCCGCTGCCTCCGGTGGGACCTTGGCCTTTGCTTGCGTCCCCACAATGACTGCTCGCTCAGTGACAGGTCTGTCCGAGACTTCCTTGGAAAAGCTCGACGGTCATCTAAGGGGCGGAGCCTGCGTGCGATAAGGAGCCACACGTTCGCTTTCACGCTGCCTGCACACCGAAAAACACGTCATTAACGCTCAGAAAAATAAGGAACTGAGAAAGTAAAACTATTATGCGAGCACTCGAAAATCAGGCTCAAATCCACAGCTAGCCCCATGGGCGCCCCGGCACGTGGGACACTCTTTCTTTTTCTTTTTTTTTTTCTTCAGAACGTTCTGCAGTGTTTTTTTTTTTTTTTTTTTTTAAATGCACAAATGCGCCCGAAAGTTTGTAACTTGCTTTGTTTCAGCGCTTTGTTACGATATCGATGGGGAGCCGGCGGTGCTCGCTGGTTCTGACCGTTCCGACCGTTCAGAGTCCGACCAAAATTATGTGATGCAATGCGAATGTGCGTGCTTTAGTCTACTTAAATTCAAACATTGAAACACACACACAAAAAAAGAAGGTTCTAACATTTATAAAAATATTTCTAAATAAAAAGTTTGGAGTGCATTGTGTACTAAACGGAAGGTTGCCTACGCTTAATTTTAACATGGCGGTGACCGCTGTTGTCCCGTGTACCGTGCTCGACCTATTTGTTGTGCATTGGTTGTCCTGTTCTCCGTCTCCTGCGATCCGAATGAGCCAGAAGCATGCTGTCTAGGTACTGTACGCCCATCAAGAATTCTTGAAAGCAAGGCCCTCAATAAGATTGTTCGGACCGTGGCTTGGAGGTCCTTAGCACCCACGAACCGCGTCCGCGAGCCTGATGTCGTTTGCTTGGCTGCTCCAATTTTACGGCGACGGATCCCCCAACCTGGCCTCAGTTCTACATGACCTATCTAACACAACGCGGCGTCTCTGGAGTGCGGTTACTACGATAAGTGGCTCTTGACATCAGTAGCCCCACTCCAATGATGAGTTCTTCGATGTCAACGCTCTTACCTTCAGAGTGTCCGGACTCTCGCAATAATAAGCTCCACCAGAGCTTCGCCCCAATCATCATTCACCACGTGGAAATGCGTTTTTGTTTCTCGTTTTAGTGGTAACAGAAGCCGCCGGCTTCCCTCCATTTTTTAAAGCTTTCGCATTAAAAATAAAATAAAAAAGGTTTGCAAGTTTGTTGACAGCTTCTTTTTTTGTCATGTCCGCATTGAACTGCCCGCGGGTCTATTTTCTCTCGGTCGGTTCGGTTGCGTTCGGCAACGACACGTTACTGTTGCGCTCCATTCTCATGGACTTTGTGAGTTCGTTTCTTGCCATTCTTAAGTGATCATCCTAAAATGCTAAACACAATCATGTAATATAGAATACCTCATAAATATGCCTCGGTGACGAGGTTTGCGCGTTTGGATTTTCATATATGTTTTCGATGATTCTTCACATCGAATTTCCTTGTCAGTGTCTTTCTAAAGCATTACCAGTCACATCAGCGGGCCGTGGATACGATTAGCATTTACGTTCACAACTATTAAATTGTACCTCGGCTCACTCTAAGTCTGTCCGCAGCCGACGCTAGGATGCAACGGAGCCAACCTAGCATCACCAAAAGTGCATCGTCGTTACGCTCGTTGTCGTTGTGGGTTTGCCATCACGGGCCATACCAATCACGCAGAGAGGAAAGCGCAGGTTCGAGGAGCATTCACTCTGAACGATTGGTTCATTCCGTGACAGGAAACGCCGAAAGACGCTCGTGCCATGACGATGCACTTTTGACGCTGCTTGATTCCCTCCGTAGCAATCGTAGTGTAGCTATGGTTCCCCCAAAATTCAAGAAATAATGATCATGTACGACAAAGACGACGCAACCACACCTTTCAACAAGCAACGGGCAGAAACGACGTGTAAATTCGTCTGATCCTTGAGCGCGTCATACGTTCCTTTGCCCCCCACCCCCGCCCAATGCGCCCACGTGCGTTTGCTTCCCCCCCCCCCCCCCCCCCCCCCCGCCAATGGCGGCTCGAGCCTGGCTGCTTTCTGATCGCGCGTACTCTACACGCTCACTGTGTCGCCCTGAGATTGGCTTGCCCCCCTTTACGTTTCGGCGCGCTAACGACGCATATTAGAACACTTGCTCGTGGTAAAAGTATTCGAGCAGCGAGCACCCAATTAAGGGCGGGATAACCAAGGAAAGATAAAGGAACTAAGGAGAGAGGAAGTGGGAGGTAGACGATTAAATAAAATACAAAGTAAGGTCGACAGGGTTATCTCTGGCTCGAGAAATCAAACTGCAGTCTGCGTCAGAAACAGTGAGGGATCAGAAAAGTTGCTATTTGTGCTGCTCGTGGCTAAGGACTCTATAGTCTACGGTAGCATATGCTCTTAAGCCCCCCCCCCCCCCTCTTTTCCTCTCACCAAGAAACTTGTCTCTTAACCTCTCTTTTCTTTTCAAAGCATAAGCTTC